AATCCTATTATTAATTATCCTGCTGATATATTTATTTTATTTTATTTTTCTTTAACTATTGACTTTATTAAAGGTATTTTATAACAAAATTCGAAATTATTGATGTTTTTATCTATTTTTCTTTTATTGTCTGGAGTAATTGCGATAAATCAGAATTATGCAGTTAATTTGTAAAATGCAATTATTTTGAAAACTGTTGAGTTTTGAAGTTATCAACAGATATACCTTTTTTTTGTTAAAATAATGTATCTTCATTATTTTGAATCAAAAATACCGGTCGCTTGAGGAACAAAAAAGTTAAGTGTAAATGTATGCCATGTATGTGGCATATGTGGAGCCCTCTATTAGCTATATTAAAATATGCATCAACTTATAATTTCTGATGTTGAATAGTACCCAGCTGTAAATTTTTATACATAAATGTTTACAAATATGAAAGTTATAGCGAAAAATAAAATTTTAAATTTCCACTTTAACACCCTGTATCTTTCTTAATATCAACATTTTATTAAAGCAAGTTGGCTTAAATCGTAATATTTTAAAGTGAAAAATCTACGGTTTTTTTTTTGTACAATTACTTAAGGACCACCCTGTATACTGCAGAAAGACAATCTGATACAGAAAGGACAAAAAGAATGTTAGAAACAGCAGATATAAAAACACGACAGAACTAGAAGTACTAGTACATAAGTACTAGAAGAACTGAGTATAAGCCGAATGACAACAGATAGAGTAGTAAAGGCGGCAAGAGACAATTCCCCAATAGTAGAAAATAAAAACTAATTGGGGACATAAGTAAATAAAAAAATAATTTAATTTAACCAAACCTGACACATAAAAATGAAAAAGTATGTAGAGATAGAAAGAAAGAGTAACTAAATTTATTTTAGTATATTAAACCATTGTAATTAGGTTCATACGTGTCCTAAACTACTTAATTACGGATCTGCGATTACAACCGTTTTTAATGTATACGATTAGCAACATAATTATGAAAATAATTTCGTAAGAATCCCAAGCACTATTTTAAGAATGTCTACTATAAATTTCTAGTACTTCTACAACTCTCTTCTATGAACAATTGCTAAAGCTCGAACCGTTCATCACTCACCATGGGGGTAAGTTTAACATGTTAATAAAATGCTTACCGAATAGTTAAAAATTTATAGATTTTCTTGTCATATAAATTTTTTAAATTCGAGCTTATCTCATCGTCTTAAATCGGGAACCAATTTTCCACATTTTCTCCAATTAATTATTATTCTGATAATATTTGTCATCATTTTACTTATCTTTAGTTAAGCTTTTTCTATTTTTGTTTCAAATTTTCACTTATTTTTCTTTTCTAGATTTCTAATCTTTCGATTATACTTCTCTATAGGTGCATTTTTATTCTAGTTTGTTGATAGCAGTTTATTCTTCTTTTCTTTCATTTGCGGTATCATTTGTATTTACAGTATTATTTATTGTTTTGATTTTCATTATATCGAGTGTAGTGTAATTGTTTATGTGTTGTTCAGTCTTTCCCATTTTCCAAAGTGCTAAGGAGTGTTGTATTAGTTCAAAATTGTATGACTGTGCCACTTCTAGTTTTTATTCTTCTTTGTTTTTAGTATACTTTATTCTTTAAGCAGATTCGCGATTATCACTGCTCGTTTTAATCTCTTCGCAGAAGTTTTAAAGAGCTTTATTACTGTTTTTCCATTCCACAGCTTTACATTGCTCAACCAACAAAGGCTTGCGTCGTGTCCCTGGTTCTTTTTTTTTCGTTCACCTTGTGTATATGTCTTTGGGTTATTGTTTTTTGTTTTTAACTGGTTGGAGAAATTAAAATTAACTGAAATAATAATAAAATAAAATAAAAGGAGGAGTGGGTTGGGAGTTAGGGGTAATTTTTTTGGTGAGCTAAGCTCGTTTTTTGGTTTTTTGCTTTTTTTGTATTTTTGGGTTTTTTTTAGCCAAATCTGTTAATTTGTCGATTAGGGCATTTTGTGTAAATATCCTTACTTTGCGTTTAATCAGGGTAGCCCCTGTATCCAGCCTCCTGTTATTTAGGCCGTCTATGTAATGTCATTAGATTTGGATCGTAGTTTGTCAACTCTCTAAGCAAACGGTTCGGATGGTTTTTGAGGTTATCAAAAAGCACATATGCATGTTCGTCCATCATGTTCAGGACTCTCTTTTGCTGCGAATTCCTTTATATGTATCTTAGTGGTAAGTACTTAGGAATCTTAAGAGCCTCCCTGATCATCAAGTTCTGTACAGTTTGGATTTTCTTTCTGTTTGTTTTACATGAATGCCCCATGCCGCAGAGGCGTATGTGAGGGATGGCAGAATGATGGCATTTGCCATTTTTATTTTCGTTTTGAACTTCAGTTTACTTTTCCTTTCTATTTTTTACCTTATCTACCGCTTGATTTATGTGTTCGGTTAAGTTGATACGTCTAAATAGCGTTAGTCTGAGATAGTTGTCGTTATTTGTCCATTCAACTGGAGTATTAGATAATCCCTGTTTGGAAGTCCTTCACGTCTTTTGTACATGAAAGTCTGTGTTTTGTCCGGGCTGACGGCAATTTTCCACGTAACACACCAAGTGCAGTTGGTTTAGGGCAGTTTGCAGGTATCTAGTGGCCAGATCTGAATTGCTACTGCTAGCAGCTATTGCAGTGTCGTCAGCGTACAGACTGAACATAGTTCGTTGATCACTAGGGGTTTGTGAAGTATACATGGTATACAGATAAGGCGACAGCACGGCTCCCTGTGTTACTCCTGCCTCCATGATTCCATCCATAGACCTGAGCAAATTGTACCGCGAATCAAGGAGTATGGGACTGTAGTCTTAATCAATTTCTGGATTGATACCGCCCTCTTAACTATTATTTAACGTTGGCAATAAATTGCAAATATAGCGCCTCTGTAATGTCCCTGAGTAAGTTTTATACTGAGTACAATAGTTTTTAAGTAAAGTACAGAATTTATGCCTAGTGTGTTAGGTGAAAAATATGAAGATAGCACAAGGTTTAAGGTTTAAGTTTAAGTACAATACAAAAAATTATTATAAATACCTTTTATAACTTTGTTTTGTCAGTTCAAAATTTAAGCTAGCAGAATTATTAGCTTCTTATAGAGGTCTAAACAATTGTGAAGGTAGTAAATTAATTGGAAAAGCTTTATAGCACACAGTGATATTTAAAAATTACTTATTTTTATTTTAACATAAGCTACCACGGGTTAGTTAAAAGGCAAAAAATTAGTAAAATTCGATTAGAATTATGTGGTATTTCAAAATATTTATTTGAATTAGCTAGCTTAATATTCGAGCTTCCGCTTAATAGCTTAATATTGACTTTCCACAAGGAGTAGTTAAGAAGTGAAAAATTAATAGTGTGGTAATAAATTTGAAACAACCTATCAAAACACATTGGTACTTCAAAAAAAGAAAATATATATATATATATACCGATTGACCGAAATAAATTCGGAACATAGGAATATAATGTATTTCGGCTCAATTCTGCTGTAGGTGGTTGGCCAACAAAAGATTGTCAAATAATTATATTATTAAAATCCCATACTTCAGCGGGCTGCTGGATTCTGAACTCATAAAAATTGAAAGCTACACATAAATCTACGATTTTATTATGCTGTTAAACCACTTATAGTCCAGGAAATGAAGCATTTCACTCGCAATTTTTTCGTGCTGCGTGGATTGACTTGGAAATTTAACAGAAGGTAGGTAATAGCCTAAGGATCAAAATCTATATCGAACCAAAGTGCGCCAAAGCCTAGGGGGTGGTTGCTACCCCAACTCCGGGGTGAAAATTTTTTTTACGTTTTAACTACAGGTTTCGATTAAAAAAGTGATTCTAAACAAAAAATGTGCTATACATTTTTTTTATAAAATGATATTTTTCAAGTTATTCGCAATTGAAAGTAACAACTTTTAGACAAAAAAATCCACGTTTTTAATCGATTTTTCGCGAATCGCGAGAACAAAAAGACAAATACAATTCATTTTTTAAAATGTTTTGCGATATAATAGGAACCGAAATACGGCCTATCAATGTTCAGCGGTTTTCTTCAAATGACAAATTTGAAAGATTCAAAGTCAAATATCGGGAAAATGATGCATTTTTGGAAGAAAACTCACAAAACCTTTTTTAAAGAGCATAAATAGACCTATTATAAAAAAGACTCTATCTCAAAAATTGAGTGAGTTATGATGAAAATAAGGTCAATACCTCATTTTTTACGAAAGAATCGATGAAAACAACTCCCTTACCACTGCCATAATTAAAATCGATCTTTACCCTTCTGGAATTCCCTTTGTACATGTATTGTTAATAAGTCCAAGAAGTTTGACCCATTTAAAATGCTTTGTGTTAGAAAAAGTACAGCTTAAAGCGAGAAACCATTTACAATTTCATATTTTTTACCCTTCTTTTTTTAAATATGCCCGAAAATACTGACTATATGAAAATAATAAAAATTACCAAATTGTAGCTTTTTTAATGAGTAAAATTATCCTTTATTTAGATTTGTTGTACAATGAATATTTGGCGAGATATAGCCGTTTAAAGCATCGATTTACGATCAAGCACCATCTTTTTCGAGCCCTTTAAACTCACCCCATTTAAAAACCAAGGGTTCCAAAAAGATTTAATTCACAGATCCTTGTAGCTCTTAAAAACCTCTACAAATCGTTTTTGAAGAAACACTCTATCGTTAAAAATAAAAGGAAATACGTTAAAAAAAACAGTGAATTTTTTTTCCGGAAAATTCCATTAGTATAGTACAGTATATTTCGGAGCATAATAACCTATAAAACCGGTATATTAGCTAGTGGGGCGTTATACATTCGAAATTTTAAGCGTTCTTATTTTGAAATCCCATACAACAAAATAAAACATCTGCTCATATGTCTATGGCTTGGCAATGAAAATATCAGAGCAACAGATTGGGGATGGTATTCCAAAGATGGTTTGTTATTACTCGTACGCATGAACAAACAACCTGCACTCGATGAACTTTTGAAAATTATTTTTTGCCAATGCAAAAAAGGATGGGGTGTTTCATGTGGGTGCAGAAAAGTTGGTTTATACTGTAACTCTACTTGTTCTGGGTGCTCAGGTGAAGGGTGCAATAATAGTCCACCAATAATTGAAGATGAGGATGACATAGATCACGATGAAGATGTAATTTATGACGAATAAAATTAATATTATAATTGTTTTACCTATAAATGTAACTATTTTCAACTATTTATGTAAATGTATAAGAATATATGGTGAATTTTTATGTTGATAAATTTTTTTGTATCTAATTCTACTTTTTTCAATTTATAAATTAGTTTATAAGAACTGCAATGTTGTAAAGGGTGATTTTCAAAAGTTGAAAAGTTGCAAAATTTTGGCAAAAAATTGTTTTCACCTATAGCACTTATAACAATTGATTTTAAAGGGTTGAAAATGTATGACTTTGTATTTTAAAGTATAAAAAAATCACTATTTAACTAATCCAAACCAAATTTCACTCATCTTAAGATTTATAATATTATTTTACAATTTTTGAAAATTAGGGGTAGTTTTCACCCCTAAGAACAATCAGGGTTCATCGGCATGACATAAACTATAAAGCAGAGGGGCTTAATTCCAAATTTTTATGCAAATCGTTCCAAGGTGAAATCATTTTCTTCGCATTACTAATTATTTTATATTAATCTCCAATAAGGGTCGCTTTTTAGGGGTTGAAATATGATGGAACTTTATTCAAAAGCACGAAACTATCATTATTTAATTAATTCAAACCAAATTTTACCCATATTCAGGTTTAATATGTTATTTTAAAATTTTTGACACTTAGGGGTAGTTTTCAGCCTTAAGAACAATCAGGGTTCGTCGACATGACATAAACTATAAAGCAGCGGGTGAATTGAGCTTAAATCCAAATTTTTATCCAAATCGATCCAAGCTGAAATCGTTTTTTTAGAATTAGTAATTTTTTTACATTAATCTCTAACAAGGGTTGAAATATGATGGAACTCTATTCAAAAGTATAAAATAATCATTATTTAACTAATTCAAACCAAATCTTACCCATATTCAGGTTTAATATGTTATTTTATAATTTTTGACAATTATTGGTAGTTTTCACCCCTAAAACCCTTCAGCGCACTTCGGTTCGATATAGATTTTGATCCTTGGGCTATGACCTACCTTCTGTTAAAATTTCAACTGAATACATGCAGGACGAAAAAATTGGGAGGTTTTAAGTTTTTTCGAGCTTAATTTCCTGAACTATTATCACTTCTTTAGACAAACCCGTCTTACGCAAACAACATTGTTACGAGACAGATAGTTGAACGATATTTTATACAATGTCTATATCCAGGTATGGATTTATTTTTGTCCAAGTTTTATATTGGTCCACTATTTCAAATGTAGTTCAAACAGACATGTATTAAATTGTATGTTCCGTTTTAATTTGGTTCAATCTGTATATTTTAATTCTGCTGGCTCGAATATTTAGCTAGCGGTTACGTTTCCAAATAAAATTGCTTTAGGGGTGGAAAATTATCAAGATGGTGAAAGTGTAGCAAAAATTTACCAGAACACTTTTTTATTTCAATTATAAGTAGAGTACAGTAGAATATAAAAAAGAATTTACGCCATAAATTGTAACCTAACAGAATTATTGACTGATAGAGTACAGTAAAATTGTAAAAATAGATTTTTCTTCACCATAAATTTTAGCCTAAGAATTGTTGACTTTCCACATGGGTTGGTTGAGGGTGAAAAATTAGTAGGGTAGTAATAAATTTGTAAAAACCTAGCAGAACACTGTGGTATTTTAAAAATAATTTGTAATAATTCCGCTGGCTCAAGCTAGAAAGAACGTTTCCAAATAAAATTGGTTTAGGGGTTAAAAATTATCATAGTAATCAACGTTTAGTCTAAACTTAACAGAACAGTTTTTTATTTTAGTTATAAGTAGAGGAGAGTAAATTTGTAAAAGACTATTTTTTCAGCTTAAATAATAACAGAATTAATGGCTTTCGATAAGAGACAGTTGAGTGGTGAATAATTACTAAGGTGGTGATAAAATTCTTTAAACCTAGCAGAACACCTAGCAGAAATATTTTTTTCCAATTTCGCTGGCTCAAATATTAAGCTAGCAGAAACGTTTCCAAATAAGATTGGTTTAGGGGTGCGACATTATCAGGGTGGTTAAAGTTTAATAAACATATAAAAAACAGTTTTTTATTTCAGTTATAAGTAAAAAAGAGTATTTAATTTAATTTTAATTTAACAAAAATATTGAATTTCCATAAGGGGTAGTAAACGGTTGAAAAATTACTAAGGTAATCCAGCAAAATCGCTCCCCTTAAGGGTGGTTTGGCGGTGAAAAATTATTAGGGTGGTAATAAATTATTAAAAATTGAGTGTAAAAATATTACGTAAGTCATATTGGATTCGACTCATTTGTCCCCGCTAGTTTAAGGGTCCTTTGTATTATGGCTTTCTGATGTCGATATAAATTCTGGTCATCTGTTTTTGTTTTACGTAATTTATGTTTACAACCTTTGTGCAGTTGAGAGACCGACATTATTCTATGGGTTCTTGTACAGCCAGTACTTTAAAATCAATACATAAGTACATTTTTTATCGTTATGTATTTCTTTTTGCTGTGATATGTTTCATTGTTTCAGGACGCTGCAGAACTAAGCAAGGAACAGGTTGCTTGTGAGTAAATCCTTCAATTTGTAATATTAAAAACCACACTAACCATAATTTTTAGTGCTTAAAAATGCCTTTGACACATTTGACGTCGAAAAAAAGGGCAGCATCGGTACTGTAATGATTGGAACGATCTTAAGTATGCTTGGTGTTCAGACAACGGAGCAAACTCTGAAGGAAATCATTGATGAAGTAGATGAAGACGGTAAGATGTAATAATATATACATGTTGTTAATAGTCTTAATTTGATCGTTTGCAAAATACAAATATTATGTGCGCATTTTTTCTTTTCACTTGTTCTCATCAATTTATTAATTCTAGTAAACTGTTTTATGTTCCTTTTTTTTCTTGTTTTGCCTTTATAAGCAATTCTGCTTGTTCATTGTCGGATTAATAGCTCTATGAAAGGTTGTCACTCCATCTTTTGCGTCGTAAAAAATTAAAGAGAAGGGGCTTAATAAATATATTATATATTCCAAAGATGTTTATTTATTGTCAAAAATATATTACACTTATAATAAAGAAAGAGTTTATCAGATCTGTTGCCATTTACATATCGTTATTTTTTTATCCTATCCTCCAACTCTAATGATCTTTTCAGTCATCTGCTTGTATACATCTATCTTCCATTATATCGTTTACTTCTTATCTTTAAGATCTTCTTGATCTGCCTCTTTTCCTGTGATTAGTGAAGATCCACTCCATAACATTCACTTTAGCTGTCGTTGGTCATTCATCATTTCGACATGACCATACTATTTCAAAGTATGCTTCAAAGTAAGCCCGTAAAGCTAACATACTCCAAGTTTATGCACCAACTGCTGACAAGTCGGATGATGAAATAGAGCAGTTCTATGAGAATCTCCAAGAATTACTTAAAATGACAAAGAGTTATGAAACAACATTAATCGTAGGAGATTTTAATGCCAAAGTGGGTTGTGTAAAAGTGGAACATATTTGTGGAAATTACGGACTGGGCAATCGCAATGATAGAGGTGACAGACTACAACAATTTTGCCAGGAGAAACAACTAACTATCATGAACACCTGGTTCAAGCTACCACTACGGAGGCTGTATACGTGGAAATCACCCGCAGATAATAAAAAGAATTGTGTCCGAAATAAAATCGATTAAATTATTATAAACCAGCGATATAAAAATGCAATAACGGATACAAGAACATACCCAGGCGCAGATGTTCCATCGGCTCACAACCTACTAGTGGCTAAATTAAAAATAAAGTTCAAAATGCTAAAAAAGACTGTCAAAAGAAAAACCGACATCAATTTACTTAAACAAGAAAATATACAAAGTATGGTAAAGACTAAACTCAACGAGGAATGTGAAAGACTCCAAAGAGAGTTATCACCAACTACAGAAGGCTTATGGACTGAAGTCAAGAATGCTTTTACTAGCGCCGAGAAATATATAAAAGACACTAATAACAAAAGAAAATCTAAACCCTGGATGACACAAAAAATTCTGAGAATGATGGATACTCGAAGAGCCTACAAAAATAAAAATAATGAAAAATATAGGGAGATACATCGTCAAATCAAGAAAGAAATAGCTACCGCAAAAGAGAATTGGATGATAGAAAACTGCCAAGAGATCGAAGAATTAATAAAGTAACACGACAGTCAAACGCTTCACAAAAAAATAAAAGATCTAGCTGGAATGACAAAACAAAGACTCCCTTGTAGATTAACAAACGACGAGAATGAAAAGGTATGGGAATTAAGCGATCTAAACAACGTATGGGGACATTACATAGAAGAACTATTCTCGGACACACCACTAAACAACATAATATATAAAAACCATGAAACCAGTCCTCCTATATTAAAACAAGAAGTAGAGAGAGCAATCAAAACGCAAAAAATGGGAAAGCCCATGGCCCCGATGACATACATACGGAAGTCATAAAGCTACTGGAAGAGAAACATTTAAATATAATCGTCAAATTATTTAATCAAATATATACAAGCGGTGAAATTCCATAAGACTGGTTAAAATCAGTCTTCATTCCCCTTCCAAAAACTAAGGGAGCAAAGAAATGTGGTGATTTCAGACTTATTAGTTTAATGTCCCATATGTTAAAGTTATTCTTGAAAGTTATTCACCAACGCATTTATAAGAAATGTGAACAGGATATCAGTGATGAACAATTTGGCTTCCGAAATGGATTTGGGACGCGGGAAGCATTAACCAGTTTTATTATACTGCTGCAAAAATGTCGAGACCAAAAAAAGGATCTCTTTTTATGTTTTATTGACTATCAAAAGGCCTTCGACAAAGTAAAACATGATAAGCTGATGGATTGCCTTCACAAAAAGGGACTAGACGAGAACGATTTTAAAAATATCCAAACGCTGCATTTTAACTAAACTGCAGCAGTTAGAACAGAAGCCGGTGACACAGAAATATTCAATATCAAGCGAGGTGTACGACAGGGGTGTGTATTGTCACCACTACTTTTCAATATATATTCGAAAGAAATCTTTGCACGAGCACTAGAGCAATCAAGAGAAGGTGTTAAAATTAACGGCAGAGTTCTAAATAATGTACGATACGCCGACGACACGGTCCTAATTGCAGAGAGCGCACAGGATCTCGAGACACTCTTAGATCGCGTCAGATCGATCGGAGAACAATACGGCCTCAGCATTAACGTCAAGAAAACAAAAACAATGATTGTCTCCAAAACATCCATCCATCCACCCATGGCTTTAAACGTGAATGGTAACATTATCGAAAATGTCGAGAAATTTCGATATCTAGGGTGCTGGATAACGAAAGATATAGATCCAGACATAGAAATAAAATCGCGAATTGAACAAGCAAGAAATGTCTTTTTAAAAATGAAACAAATGTTTACGTCCCAAACACTCAATCTCAAAATCCGATACCGAATGCGGAAATGTTACGTTTACAGCACCTTACTATATGAAATGGAGGCCTGGACCTTCAAAATCAACTCACTCAGGCGTTTGGAAAGTTTTGAAATGTGGTTATTTCGAAGCATGCTGAAAGTCCCCTGGACAGCGCATATGAGCAACGAGCAGGTCCTACACAAGATGGGTACCGACAGAGAACTCTTAAAAATAATGAAAACACGGAAAACCTTATATTTGGGACACATATACAGAAATGAGAAATACCAGCTACTGCAGCTTCTTATAGAGGGGAAGGTAGAAGGAAAACGTGGTCCTGGTAGACGGCAGGCGTCCTGGTTGAAGAACATTCGTGAGTGGACTGGTTTGGATTCTCAATCCTTAATAAGATAAGCCAGGACAGAAATGATTTTGCTGAGGTTATCGCCAACCTTCATTGAAGACGGCACCCAAAGAAGAAGATACTATTTCAGTGTTTTGCATTCTATAGTTTCCAGAATGTCGATGTTAGCAATACTTTTTATGTGATTTCAGAATATACTATTCGTTAACGTATTAATAAATTACCTTTTTCAATAGTTGCTATTTCTTTTGTATTCCGGCTATCGTTTGCAATATTGACAGTGCGATATTTAAAGCTACCATTATATCCCTTTACCACACACTGTCCGTAAACTTATGTATATGCTGGTGAATCTTGCTTATTGTTTTGTATAATGATCTTTTAGTGCCAGTGAACGACTAATAGTTAACTTAGAGCACCAGTGGTACACCTGAACTATGTCGCCGTTGCCAAAATAGAAATTTAGTCAGGTGTCCCACAAAATTAAAATATACTGAACAATACTTCCCCACTTCAAGGGACTTCAAAATAAACATACAAATATTAATGAAAAAGAAAATACAAAATATTAATAAAAAAAAAATTGAGTTGTCTAAATTTAACACTAGGACAAATTGTTAATTCACCGTGTCGTCTTCTAAAGTCAAAGGACACAAATGTCTCACGAAATAGATCACAGTTTTTGACACTGTTTTATTTCTGCCCCTCGCTAGTACTTTGCAGAAAATAAACGTATAATGCTTCCCATAAACCACTTTCCTGGAGGTTGTTAATCATTTTATTAGTGTACCAACAGCAAGCGGAGTATCCTAGCTTTTTCATTTACATAAAGTATTCCACCTATCTATTCAATACATTTTTCTTTGTTGTTAATATGTCGCCATTTTATAGTATTCCATTGACTATTTTTAAATTTATGTAGCCCCAAAAATTTATAAATAGTTTACTGTTTACATTATTTACTTTTTTATCTTCAAATAGACTAAACTTTTGCTGGTTCTAGTACTTAAGTCTCTTTTGTAGTTCCAATACTCTCTACTAAGATTTTAAATTTGGCTTAAACTGTATCTTTTACTCGTCTTGTTTATGACGTGTATTTTTATCTTAATTTTAACTTTTGCTAGCCTTTTATTTTTTTTTTTTTTTCATGTCTTAATATTTTGAATCAGCTTTTATTAGTATATTTACACCTACGTCTGCTCACTCCACTATAGAAATGAACATTAACGTTAGCTGGACTATCCTGCATTTTCTTTCTAGGAGATTTTACAATAATTTTTTTTGCAAGTGATAGTATATCCCTGATAAAAATCTGTAATCCTGACATATCTGAAATACTTCTGTAGGGCCCTTATACCAATAGCCGAGGGTGCTTATATTTTGGGCGCTGGAGACTCGCCCTTGCCCTTTTTATTCTAAGATAAGATTTGCCGACTATGTGCTATGATGTTCTATGCTTTTAGGTGTTTCTTGGTATTTGTTATAGCTATCTATTGAAATCAGTGACTATCTCAATATCTAGGGATCTACAGCTTTCACCCTTCTTTTTTCTCAGCCGGACTTAAGAATACCTACGGCTCATTGTTACAATTATATTAAAAAAAAATTTAATTATGACAGGATCTGGAGAACTAGAGTTTGAAGAGTTCATCATACTAGCTTCAAGGTTTATGGTTGAAGAAGATGCTGAAGCTATGCAACAAGAACTTAAAGAGGCATTCCGTCTCTATGACAAAGAAGGTATGTTTATAGAAAAAAGTAACTTTTTTTAATAAATATTGAATCTAAAAACCTTTTGATTACATTTTATGTTTAATGTTGGCATATTTTGTAAAAATTTTGTTGTAGTGGGTTTAACGTGTTGTGTATTTAACCGTTTCCCTGAGAGTAAATATTTAGATCTAATCTCTTTTGAAAATCAAAAGACTGATATATATATATATATATATATATATATATATATATATATATATATATTTTTTGTTTTTTTTTTTTGTTTGACCGACATTTGATTTCATTAGTTCTATTCTGTCTACATCCTCACATCAATCAATGGTCGGGTTCTCTTACCCGTACCATGACAAAAATTTTTTCAATTTTTTAACGTGTTTGTGAAGTCCAGTGTCGGCTTTTTATATGTTTTTTATATGTTTTAACAAATTTCAACAACTAAAAAAATCATAATTTTGAAATATAAGGAAATGAGATCTCTCCTTTGTAGTGGTATTTAAAAAAAAATTGACGTAAGTTAAAAATTATAATCTTTACCAATTAGTACTTATAAGAACATTTTATTGTAGCATAGCTCTGATGATGGCTTTGTAAAGCCGAAAGCGCTCAGCTAGGAATTGCCTAAAATATACACACTTCAAAAATACTTTTTTGCATTTTCTTTCGACTAATCTCTTTTGGCGGTAATATGTGTTTGTCCATTTTATAAATGTTTTACCACTTATTTTCTAGTGACTTATACCCTACATTAACGCTATGTTCTCTTAGAAAACGTGTTTTTTAAAAATAAATTTCATTTATAGTAAAAAAGATATTTTAAAATCACTTTTTTTACAGGTAAATACGTAAATTTTTTTTTAAATAAGGGGTCTGAAAGTAGCTGCTCAGACTCGGTCCAAGAGAGGACCTGTTGAGGACCTCGTAGACACTTCGTCTCAGAACCATTTTACTTATGTAGAGTCATACGCCGCCATGTTACCTATCCAACGGTAACTTAAACATTACAAATTACAACTAATAATAATGTAAAACAACTACAAATTTAAAACATTTAAAGGGTTTTGACCCATATATTTTGGTGGCTACTAGCATGTACAACCGTTTGCACTGATGATAGATTTATCAATCCGAAAACGTTTTGCAATGTGTTTGTGATAGCCCGTTTGGGGCATTTTTATATACCTTTTATAAGGGATTTTAAACATTTTTTTGTGATATATGGTATACAGACAGCTACAGGAACTTAGTTTCCTAGTGGAATTCTACATCAATTCGACTTATTTCGAGGAAGAATGAATTTCAACATATATAAAAATAAAATGGTTTATACTCACATATTATAGAAAGTCCAATAAATCAATTTTTTTTTATTAATTCAACAAAACAAATGTGATAAAATAATATAGATCAAAAGTATACAAATGTCAAATACATAAAGCAAAAATATGTTAATAGAAAAAGAGATAATCAATACACAAATGAAAAGTTTTAAAAATATTGCACACATCTAAAAATAATAAATGCATCTACTCATATTCTTCCTCTTCTATTTCCCAACAGGAATTACACAAAGTTTTTGTGTGTTCCTTACAAATCGATCTTCTACAATTTGGCTTGCAGCATTTTGTCTGAGTTTTTCGGTTCTTCTTTTTAGGACAGTATGCACATCTAATCTAAGTGGTCTAATCAGTTGTAAAGCCAGATTTTTTAAAAATTTACGTCGTGGTAATTCAACACCAGTATTTTCATAGTGAATAATATTACAGTTTATGCCACCAATATTTAAAAGGCTAAAGAAAATTGTAGGCGGCCATCTAAAACTTCTTGAAACTGAATATATTGTCGACCACATCTACACCAGATTTAGTTTGGCTGTAAAATGTTAACACTTTAGGCTTTTTAGCATTATCTGTGTTATGGTCGATAATATCTTGATCGTGCAAAGTCGACAAAACTAAAACATTTTTATTTTTCTTTGGTACGTAGGAGGTAAGTAAGCATTCTTTGTCAAAAGCAAACATAGACGTTTTTTCGTTCCTTTCGTAGCGAGAAAAATTGTTGGTATCTCACGCTTGTTTTTTCTTAGAGTTCCCACTAATGTAGTCCGCATATTATTTAGTAGGTCTATTGCCAGTGGGACTGAAGTAAAGAAATTGTCGCATGTAATATTACGACCTGTATTAGCAATAGGTTTTATCAAACGTTTCACAAGTGATGGCGAACTATTACCTTGCTGAAATATGCCATTTAGCTGATTAACTACATACACCTCAAAGTTACTAGTGCGCCAGTTTTCCGCATCAGCCAGTGAATAAATTTTAATGCCATACTTTGCTGGCTTACTAGGAATATATTGCCTAAATGAACACTTCTTTCGAAAGGCTTCCAGCATTTCATCAACTGTAGCATACCGTCCTATTTCATAATTAGCCTTACATTTTTCCACAAAACAGTCAAATACTTCTCGTATCGACGCTAGTTTATCCATTTTCCTACGCTCTTCTCTGTTTCTAAAATCATCAAATCGCAGTGCCCTTAGTAGATGACGAAACCGATTTTTTCCCACTGTTATTCTGAATATTACTGACCCATCCGCAGCCCATAAGTCATCCACACTTACATGAGCACTTTTCCAGTTCCCAGCGAAGTAAAGTAGTCCAAAAAGTGCTTGAATTTCATCTATATTTGTGTCCGTTGAATCTCTTGGACGGGATATATTTCACTTCCTTTACTATCATCGAGGTTTTCCAAACTTTCGCTGTTTTCTTCATTTTCAATTTCAGCAAGCCACTGAAGTAATTAACGTTCTCTACGCGAATCCATTTTACTAAAAATTCTAATTAAAATTAACAATTAACCTAAACAATAATATTCTAACTAAACTTACCCAAATATTAAACAAAAACCTAAAAGTTTTTTTGAGCTAACAGAAACGTGATTTCACCGTGGTTGCACGCGCAGTGAGTAATACGCTCACCTAAAGAGGGATGTCATTTCTTTCTAGTATCACAGCACACTGACCGCATGAAATATTCTTAAACTTTGTCAAGACAATTTCATTGGTTATAAATAAATATGGTGAGTTAGTCCCTCATAGCGTGTGTAACGGCGGGCTAATTCGCGTGCGAATGCAAATAAATTGTCAATATTTTGTTGTGGCAGGTTGTTCCATTTTTCAAGAGCAGTTTGTACTAACTGCAGTAATTTTTAAAACCTTCCGGTGAGCTCTAAATCTCCTTTTATGCATATCCCACAATTGCTTTATAGGGTCAAGGTCGGATGAGCAAGCAGGCCACTCCATTACAGTGATATCTTCCGC